ACTATTTCAATGGTACCTATCTTATTATATCACATATTGTGTTTTATTAGTTATGGTCACAGTAATTACATCCACCACAATTCATAAACCATAAGCATGAGGAATTTATTTTTTCATGGTATTCATGTCTCAGGAGATGAACCACAGGGTTATATAATTGTTCAATACAATGTTCTGAGCAAACAGCATGGATTGTTTATTTTTGAGTAGACAAAGAAAATTCAAAACATATACAGAGTTGTGGCTTGAGGTTTGCTGAGTATTAGCATGATATGGCCCAAAGAATGTAAAGTAGAATTTGTTGTTTAATTATTAATTATTTACAAAATAAATTGCATTATTTAAGGTATACAGCATGACTTTTTATATATATGTATATTTAGTGAAATGATTACTACAGTCAAGGTAATTAACATATTGTTCTCTCACATAGTTACCTTTTTTTGTGATAAGCACCTAAAATAAACTCTCTAGCACATTTCCAGTATTAAATACAGTATTATTAAAGACTAGAGGCCCAGTGCACAAAATTCGTACACTGGTAGGGTCCCTAGTGGCTTCCAGCTGCTGCCAGGGCCTCTCTCCCTTCCCCTGGCCAGCTCTGCCCCCTGGTTGAACTTCCGGACAAATCCCAGTGGAGGGGACACTTTGCATACTACGCTTTTATTATATAGGATAGTTATCATGCTGTTACCTCTCTAAACTTATCCATCCTTAATAACCACAAATTTGTCTCTTTGACCAGCATCTTCCCATTTCCTCCACCTCCCTGCCCTTAGTAACCACTTTTCTACTCTGATTCTCTATAGTTGCTATTTTAGATTCCACATATAAGTGAGATCATGCAGTGTGCTTTTTCTTTTCTTTCTGTGTCTGGCTTATTTCACTTAGCATGCTATCCTCCAGCTTCATCCATTTTGTTGCAAATGGCAGGATTGCCTTCTCTTTTAAAACTCAAAAAGATTCCATTGTATGTTTATACAACTCAGTCTCTTTATCCAGTCATCCTCTGACAGACACTTATTTGTCTCCATGTCTTGACTGTTGTGAATAGGGCTGCAATGAGCATGGGAGGGAAGATATCTCTCTAAGCTACTGGTTTCATTTCTTTTAGGTGTGTATCAGAAGTGGGATTGTTAGATCAAATGGTAGTTGTATTTATTTATTTATTTATTTATTTATTTTTTAAATATATT